AAACAAGGATTAGGCAATGGCATGACCAATAAATAATTAGAATTTAGAGGATTCGTTTACTGATTGGACTGTGCAATTCAAATCTCACATAAATCAGAGTCTCGTTCAAAACAAAATTTTCATTATTTTTATGTACATTTCGTGTAATATTTCAAATTAGTTATAGAATATGCAGTGCATCGAAGACCTCGCTACAAATGCTTTTTGACTTGACTTGAAATTTCATATGCATTCAAGTCAAGTCAAGTCAAGTCATACGCTAAAATAGAAATTGTCAAGTCAAGTCAAGTCAAGTCAAAGATCAAAATAAAAATCGCCAAGTCAAGTCAAGTCAAGTCTGACTTGACTTGACTTGACTTGACTTGGTTCAAGTCAAAAAATGACTTGACTTGCCCATCTCTGCTTTTATGCTCATTCTTTCATTTGCTGCTTCATTCATGTCAGATTACAGTCAATTCCTTTGTCCAAATACGTAAACAAAACGAACACCGTTTATAAAAATTTACTTATTTTATCTCCTCTGAGCAATTCAAATGAACGCCTACTTGTTCGTCAGCCTGCCTTCGGTCGACCACTCACCGCTAGCCGTTAATGTCCAACTATCATTCTTTCATCTAGTTTAGAATTCCCTTCAAAATGAATCAAACCGTTTCCTTCCATTCCCTGCTGAAGAATCACCAACTTTGTGCCGTTGTGACTGTCCAAAACAACATTTGCCAGAGGAAGTATTACTTTGAGTGGTTAGCATCAGATAATGTTTGCGTAATATAACTGTTTGTATAATCGTGATGTTATCAATGTGCTGATGTGTATGAATATCCAACAATTCCATATTAATCAGCTATTTCGTTTCAGTTCTGCGTATTGCTGCTTCAAAGACTATCGCCTAAAAAAACTTCCTTGCAAAAAATCCAGCTTTGTCTAAAAAACAGAACAGGATTTTCTATTGAAAACCTAATAACAGATTAGAGATCTTCGGAACAGATTACCCTTCGGTCAACCCTTATTTGATAATATAAGAACTAATCATTAACTAATTAATTAGTTAGTATTTGCGAAAACTAATATCGGATTCGGGATGCTCGACCCCGATTACCCTCCTGTCGACCCTTACTCAACAACTAACAAATTTTTCATTGCCTAATTACTAATTAGCTAATTATCTAATTGAAATTTCGACAAACTAACCTCAAATACCCTTTTTCCAGAAAAGGGAATATATATATATATAAGTGCGTGTTTCTTCTCGTTCTTGTTCACTCACCTTTCGCCCTCTATCACGCTATCTCTCTTCTCTCTTCATCTTCTATCTGTACGTGTCTTCTTGTGTTCATCTACCTCTACCGTAATAAACTGAACTCACCAACACCACCTCACATCGAACAACTTACACAAGTAAGTAAATATACGACACCAATTTCGCTTAAATTTTCTCTCAATCCTTCAAAGCTGTCAAGAAAACCTATATACCAGTTTAAATACTTGTAACCATCAGTTAGAAAAAACAGAATTCGCTCTACCCGGTGCTTTCAAGGAACAATATCAAAATTATTCATTTTTCATAGGATGATTGATTAACATCTTGCGGGTTTACATGAGTATCAATCTGTTTGACGACTTTTCACTACGAAAGACGAAAACAGAAATTTATGAATATTGTCATCTTAGGATTTATTTAACAATCCTAAAGTTTCGCTTTTGAGTTATGTATGAACAACTTTTTGTTTTGGTGAATAAGATTATGGAATGGATTGATTGTGCCGTCTGTGGAGAATGCCGTTCAAATTATTCATTTCTCTTCTAACCTCAAACCAACGGATCAACATCAAGCATTCGTTTGAATGACTGCGATAGCAAATGATTCGCTGATTGACTGGTATTATTTGCACCGTTCATGAAACACAGGACCCCTNAGGGGGCTTCGCCCCCTACATACACCCAGTGGGGACGTGCTGTGTACACATAGACGCCTACTGTTGTTTCGTCCTCTAGAAGCGCTTTTTTAGTTTAGAAAAATTTTCAGCGATATCCCAACTCACTGAATGTTTACTCTGGTTATTATTCAAGCATTTATTTCTTCTAAAAAACCATCGACATAGGCTAGTTCATTGTTTTTCCAGAAAGCATAACCTTCACCCACGCACATTATCGTCACACAAACACGCATTAAACAGGACACCCCTTTTNTCACATCACACACCAACAACTCTCAAGACACTTCTGTTCACCTCTTTTCATCACTTCGAACCAAACATTACCACTCGCTCACCTCATCCAACATCACATCACACACCAACGTTCCTTATCACACTTCTGTTCACCTCTTTTCATCACTTCGAACCAAACATTACCACTCGCTCACCTCATCCAACATCACATCACACACCAACATTCCTGAAAACACTTCTGTTCACCTCTTTTCATCACTTCGAACCAAACATTACCACTCGCTCACCTCATCCAACATCACATCACACTTGATTATATTCAAGTACAGGTGGCACCAATGGAAAATGCAACGATGATGGTAGTGGCCAGTGATGATTTGAAATAGGATGATAGCCTCAGCAACTGCGCAATTGACGAACAAGTTTGATCAAAGCCCTATTCTGTTAGATCGTTGGATGCTAAGGTCAACGTAGTATATGATTTACTTGATCATGATCACGTAGCATTTGAATATAGTAAAGTATAGCGTTATTCCAGTACTGTTGCTATTTTCACTAGCGTGGACGCAGTGTGTGTATGTATTGAGTGGAATAGGACAAATGAATAGCTGATACGTTTTTGAAAACGTTTCCAATAGCTCTATTCGCATACATTTTGATCTCCTTTTTTAATTTCAGTCACTGTCGCCCATGAAGGGAGAAGCGCATGAGACACGGATGAGTTCGAATTTTGTTATGGTTTGGTTCAGTTTTCATTCACATCATGAGATGAAGATCAAATCTGTGGATGTAGATGAATGTTTACGTGACTGCTGAATTAGCATGATCATCCCAAGTTTTCCGGTCACTGTCGGTCCAATTCTACTATTCATCTATTTCATAGTCAGTGGAGTAAAATGTATATGTGAATACGGTGTGGAAGGATAACGCAATAATCGGTTGATGATAATTGTCGACATTGATTTATTCACTTGTGCGGCGGATCTTGCATTGGTGATTGTGAGTCACCAAATTGATCAAAGTTCACATAGCAAACGAATCATTTCGATTACGCATCCAAGATAAATCGTCCACATTATTCTGTTCATCTATGTTATATTAATAGAAGTAGGAATTGAAGGAAGTTGAAATGTCTAATGATCATTACCTGAATGAACAATTATAATCACCAGTGTATTTTGTGGATATATTGTGTGTGTCGGTGTTACTCGTAGTGTCATCCAAGAGTTGACTAGGGGTCCTGTGTTTCATGAACGGTGCAAATAATACCAGTCAATCAGCGAATCATTTGCTATCGCAGTCATTCAAACGAATGCTTGATGTTGATCCGTTGGTTTGAGGTTAGAAGAGAAATGAATAATTTGAACGGCATTCTCCACAGACGGCACAATCAATCCATTCCATAATCTTATTCACCAAAACAAAAAGTTGTTCATACATAACTCAAAAGCGAATCTTTAGGGTTGTTAAATAAATCCTAAGATGACAATATTCATAAATTTCTGTTTTCGTCTTTCGTAGTGAAAAGTCCTCAAGCAGATTGAAACTATGTAAAATTTGAACGATGAGAACGACCTTTATCATTCCGTCCACATAAACGCTAGCCGAAAATATGAAAACGGTGCTACATTTGCCTGCTATGCAATCATATGGTAGATAAATAGTTCTGACAAAAGTGCTAGTCAGTTACTTCGCTCTGTCAGAATTAAACACTTGCAAATATCACATTAATCAATCATCCTATGAAAAATGAATAATTTTGATATCTTTCCTTGAAAGCACCTGGTACAGCAAATTCTGCTTTTTCTAAATAATAGTTACAAGTATTTAAACTGGTATATAGGTTTTCTTGTCAGTTTTGAGGGTTTAAGGGTAGTTTTGAGTTGCTAAATGCATATTTTAGCAATGAGAAAATTTTCTTTGAAAAGTTAGGAGAAAAAAGTAGTTTGGGTCGCAGGCCATGATTTTGATATTTTAATCACTGTAGCCCTTAAAAGCCGACAGTTCTCTCGAGAGGCCAGTGATTG